ATTGTACATATATACCTCGAGACTGTTTCACATCGACCCGGTACCGAGGAGGTCTTTTCAATCTTAAAGTTAGCAACAGTAGGGCACCCTCCCGGAACGAAATCCTCAAGGGGGTATTCAGCAGTAGCTCCGCCGCTGGCAGGCCGCGACAAAGAGGTGGTCGCCTTTTGCGGTACGATTTTAGAAGTTTTTTCCATTATAGAATGAAAAAGAATTAGGATGGTATACGGTTTGCTTAAAGTTCAAGAAATTTGGGTGCAAGAGTTGCAAAGCAAAGAGATTTTTGAAGAGAAGTGATAAGTAGGGATTTTGACCGCTTATTTGCTCTCTTTTACTTGCGTTTTAGCTCAAAAATGCTTAAAGGTATTCCCGGAAACTAACGAAATGTGCTTACTTGCAGGAATATTGGGAAATGAGCCAAAGAAGTCAAAATCAACTCATAAAGGAGTCAAAAGTAAACAAGAACCAAAACCGAGCAAAAAATGGGTAGCAGTGCGGACCGCACAATTCTAGTGCGGCCGCAGAAGGGAGATTTAGAGAGTAGTTTTTTGGCCAGCTCAAGGAGTGCGGACCACACCAAAATTGTGCAGCTGTAGGAGGTCAAGTGAGGCTGCAGTCATTATTATGCGGTCCGAAAGATTGAAGAATCAGAGAGCTATTTCCATTCCAAAAGTAAAAGAGTGCGGACCGCATTACTTTTTTGTGGCCGCATAATCAGAAGTGCGGCCACACCCGCTTTTATGCGGACCGCAGAAGCCTAAAATTCCAAGCCCAAATTCCTAAGACTGCGGACCGCACGACAATTGTGTGGCCGCCGAATCCCATTACCGCACCAGAATTATGCGGCCGCACAACCTTCGCATGGGCATTTTTGTCCGATATTTTCAGTTAGTATAAATAGAACTTTTTGTCATTTTTAGGTTAAGTTCGATCTTCAGAAGTGCAACTGAGCCGTCTTTTTACTTTTTAGAGTAATTTTGTACTAGATTGACGTCTCAATATTAGATTTTCTTTGTTTAATCAATTATTATGCATTCTATCTTAATTTCTTCTTGTATTTCCTTATTTTTCATGAGTAGCTAAATCTTTGGCTAGGTTTGTGGCTCAAACCTAGTGTGGGTACTTAATGGGTATTTAATTTTAGGGCTTGTTTGTGATTGGGTTAGTGATATTTAGCCTTGTTTATGCTTGAATTCTAAAATTAATGGTTGCAAATATTGATTCATGCCTATTTGACCCAATCTTTACTTGAGAAAGAGAGACTAAGTTTAGGAAAGCTTGGCTAACAAGAAATTGGGGCAAACTCAAGAAATTGATAGCCATGCCAGACGCATTTGATGGCCCAAAGAAAGTAACTATATTCTCATTGCAAATGCTCCTATTAAGTCCTAGAAGGACAAAGTCTGTGGTACGCTTGAAACGTATAGACAAATCGGTTTCAAATAAATTTCTTGATAAAGAAGATGAGCAAATGATCAAAATGATCATAATAAAGGAGACAAGTGATCTAGAAGATCACATGACATAATACTTCATAAAATCTCAAGAGAGGTTTAGGTACCAGAAATGAATGAAGAGATCTTTATGTTATGTCTTTATTAAAAATGTTGAAACCGATATAAATTGTTCGTCGACAAAATCTATGATACCGCTAAATATATATGAGGATCTTAAGTCTGGAGAAATAATTTCAAGTAGAATTGATTTCATATGAAAGACATGTAGTTTTGAACATGTAGTTCAAACACTTGAAAGTATAAAGTCAATGATATGTGCAATCAGTTTTCGATATCTTATATGTCTAGTATGACATGAAAACTTGATATGCATCTAAAGTCTATTATATGACTTATATGACTTAACTTATATGACAATCCATGAAGGATTTAAATTGCTTAAAGCATATAGAATTCATGGTCATGAAGTACTACATCCTCAGTGCAATTTGTGCACAAATGTATCTTGCTATAACTATATGCATGATAATATGATAGCAAGAGTTTCACCTTTATGTGAAGACATTGAACTGACAATTCCAACAAGATCATATGAAGACAATTCATCTCTATCAAGAATGATGATTTCAAGGTGCAATACATTCATTCTAGTTAATATGCCTGATTTGTTCATCAAATCTCTACCAAAGATCTTTTGAAGATGGTGCACAAGATTGGAATGCAAATGCTTAAAGATGTGAATTGATGCTCTCATCAGGGGGAGTTAATACGCGTTATAATTTTTTTCCCTTTCAATGTTTTGTCCCACTGGGTTTTCCTTGCAAGGTTTTTAACGAGACAACCAAAAGGCGTATTATTAGATATGTGTACTCTTTTTCCTTTTCTAGAAGTTTTTTCCCACTGGGTTTTATTTTAGTTAAGGTTTTAACGAGGCACATTATCTGTTGAATGGACATTCAAGGGGGAGTGTTATAAATAGAATTGTATTTATGGTGAATGTCTATATTTAGAGAGATTCTAGGGTTCATTGCTCGGTGGCTAAGTCACCCTCTCCCTATAAATAGAGGGTTCTATTCTATTGTAATTCACTCCAATTCTCTCTCTACTTTTCTCTGCAATACTATTCTTCTTTTTTTATTGTTTTATAACAAAAGTGATGATTTCTTCATATTTTATACACGTATTGTCATCCACATTTTTTGGAAAGGGTGATCCGCAGTCGCTATCCTGGGTGTGCTCGCAAACTCAAAAGAATACTATTATCATTGGATAACTTATTTACTGTGAAATAGCTCGCAAATCACACAGGAGATGCAAAACCGCACTAAGCAAGCCCAGTGTGATGAACTTTGACCGAGGAGGCTTGCAAAAAATAATACATAAATTATTGTATGAATTATACTGATATTTGTAATGTAAATCTTCAGAAGCGGACCTACGTGTTATAGTGAGGGGCCACTGGACCTCGTATGTTTTGGCAGAAATCTTGTATATGTATATGTATATACCTTGAAAATGATTAATTTAAAGCACCCGGCGCCTTAAACACTAAAAGCCTTTAGGGGCAGTAGTTGAGTAGAAAATCGTGTCCCCATAAATATGATTACCGTAAATCAATCACTAGGGTTAGTCATTTGAAATTTATAGCGAAGAACCCCAAACATTATGTGAGTTACACATCTATAATATTAGGAATGCAAAATCTTATCTTACGAACTAAATGATTTATTAGTAACAAAAAAACTTATGACGAGATTATTTTTTCATTACGAAAAACAAATGAGCCTTTCAAGAACAGTCCAATTTCATACCAAAATTATTCCTTTTTTCGTGAGAGTCGTAGCTCCATCACTTGAATAATTTCAAGGCTCTATGATGAAGTAGAAAACAATACTGTATACATTCATTAAATATTCAAATAGAGGTCCATCTTGTGTGAGTTGATAAATGGACTGAGGCCGAGGGCAATATGGTCAAATCACCACATGCCTTTCTAATTTTGAAAACCCATACGTTAGAAGAACATACCCTTAATAAATAATTGCCCCACCTAGATATCCACGCACTTAGTAGGCGTTTGGACATAAGAAATTTAATTTTTTTTAAAAAAAGTAGTATTGAAGTTAAGTTGAAAAATGATATTTGGAATTTGAAATTATGTTTGGACATGCATTTCACTTGATTAAATGTTGCAGTTTTTTGAGTGGGGAAAAAATAATTGTGAAAATTTAACTAGCGTTAGGACATAGATTTAGTTGAAACTTGAAAAAATAATTTTTGAAGTAGTTTTGAAAAATAATTTTTGGAAGTTGAAATTATGTTTGGACATGCATTTTATTTGAAAAAAATTTGAAGTTTTATGAGTGGGAGAACAAGTTTCACCCAAAATCTACCCTAAATTAGATTTTGGGAACTTGAAAAATAATTTCAGAAATTTTTCAAAAATAGATCATTAATCTATGAACAAACAATGTTTTCAAAAAAATTTTGAAAAAACGTTGCATGTATGGCCAAACGGGGCCTTAGTCATTTTAGAAAATTTTCCAAAAACTTGCAAACATAGACAAACACATTTTTAATATTTTATTTTTGAAAAAAAGTGAAAAGAATTTATTGACAGATGGAGACGTATTATACTGCTCCATTGAATACTCCCCGCATTTCAATTTATATGAGTATATTTAATTGGATATTGAGTTTAAGAGAAAAAACTTTTAAAATTCATGATTTAAAACAAGTTATAAATGTTTTTATGAATTTAAATTCATGATTAGATGGTTCGGGCATGAGAAGAGGAGAGGTACTGATGCTCCGGTGAGGAGGCGTGAGAGGCTGGCATTGGAGGGCTAACAGAGTGGTAGAGGCAGGCCGAATAAGTATTGAGGAGAGATGATTAGGCAAGATATGACATTGCTCCAGCTTACTGAGGACATGACCATGGATAGGAAGGGGTGGACGTTGAGAATAAAGGTTAAAGGTTAGGTAGCCGAGTGTTGTCCTTATTTGTAACAACATCTTTGATGCACCACTTGGTGTTTTTCGTATCCCTACACTTCTGTTATTACTTGTTGTTGTCTTTTGTTTCAGTTTTTTGATTGTATTACCTATTGCTAGTTTGTATTTTCGCTTCGATTGTCAGATCGGTTTGCTTGTTACTGCCCCTCCCATTTTTTCTTCCCGAGCGGAGAATCTAGGAAAACAACATGTCTGCCTTCTTAAAGGCAGGGGTAAACTCTGCGTACACTCTACCCTTCCCAGACCCTACTTGTGGGATTACATTTGGTATATTGTTGTTGTTGTTGTTATTAAAAGTAAAAAATTTATAATTAAACTATTAGTATTAAATATAAAATGTAGGAGTATTATTTTTTAGAATGAATTAAAAAGGATATCATATTTTTGGAACAGAAAGAGTATCTCACAGCCCTTTAGTTCCGCAAAGGAAAAAGCATAATAGAAGGAAACAAAACAAAAGCCATCTGACCACTACACGCCTACCTTCTCTGACTTCTTTCTTTTTTTTTTTTTTTTAACTTCCAATACCAAACGCGCATTATTCATTATTCCCTCCCGCCGTCCTTCTTTCTAGCTTTCCAGCTACCCACTCTCTCTCTCTCTCTCTCTCTCTGCTTACCCATTTTCTTCCTCTAGAAACTTTCCGAGAAAATATGTGTTAATATATTAATCAGAGTTCACAATCTTGTCTATATACTTTTGGGATGGGTGTATCAAAGAGCAACAAGAAGCATCAATGTTACATTGCAGTGCCATCTCAGGTAATTAATTCACTTTCTTCTTCCGCTCTTCAAACTCTACTAGAAGAAGCTCCCAAGAAAAAGACGAAGACTACTGATCCTTCCAAGTTGAAGCTTTTGCTCGCTAATCCAAGATTCTGGATTTTCTTGCTTTTTCTCTTTGCGTTTGCTGGGATATTGTTAAATATGTGGCTTAACTTTGACCCTTTCTCACAATACCCATGTTCCATTTCTCAAGAAAAGGGTCAAATCTCTACTTCCCCTCAGCTCAGTATTGCTGCTGTGAATGAAAAAAGTATAGTGAATGAAAATAGTAGTGAGTTCTGGAAGCAACCTGATGGGTTGGGTTACAGGCCTTGTTTGGATTTTAGTGCAGAGTACAGAAAGGCAAGTGAGGAGATTTTGAAGGATAGGAGTAAGTACCTAATGGTAGTAGTTTCTGGGGGAATGAATCAGCAGAGAAATCAGATTGTTGATGCTGTTGTCATTGCAAGAATTCTTGGCGCTGCTTTAGTTGTTCCCATTTTCCAAGTCAATCCTATTTGGGGTGATGAAAGGTTTCTTCTTTCAACTAATTTCTGTGTATTCTTCCAGAAATGGATTTTGTTTTTTTCTAAATTTCTTAATGTATGGTCTGTGTTTGCTTGGTCTGTTTTTGTGGTTGCAGTGAGTTTTCCGATATTTTTGACATGGATCATTTCAAAAAAGTTTTGGCAAATGACGTGCGAATAGTTTCATCGCTTCCTTCTACACATGTGATGACTAGGCCAGTGGAGGAGAAACACACTCCTCTCCATGCTTCCCCTCAATGGATACGCTCACATTATACCAGAAAGGTGAGAAAAAGTTGATGGTGGTACGGAAAGATATTTCTCTTTTTATTTTTGTTGGTATCTTAGCTCTGTTCAGTGCATGATCAATGGTATTTAGTAGAGGTCTCGGGTTCAAGCCATGGGTATGGAGTCGCCTCTTTAGGTAGCGCTTTAATCCCCAATGTGGGACTTCCCGGCGCGGTACCGGATTTAGTCAGGTCCCAATACGGGTACCGGACACTGGGTGGGAAACCAAAAAAAAAACTCTATGATGCGAGAGACAAGTCTTTATACTCTTACACCGCTCATAAATGCCTGAAAAATTAAGATATAAATACTACTACAAATCTTAGGGTAGTTAAGAAGGGATTGGTTTTCCATTCTTGTGTTGTATTCTGAGGTAAGGTCTGCCCGTCTAGTCCCCTGCTCTTCTCTTTTGCTTCATACAACATCTACCCTAACACCACATGTTAGTGTTAACCAAAAAAAAAAAAAAGAATCTTAGGCTAGTTGAAAAGGATATTTCATTGGTGTATAGCTCCATTCATTAGTTTGGTTTGTCTAACTGAAATCTCTAGTGAAAGGTGATTGTAAACAAGTTGTCTATTGTTTCTAGAAGACGCCGAATGTTCTTGTACCTACAGTTTTGTTTGATCTTGCTGCAGCTTAGAAGGGATGGAGTTCTTCTTTTGCGAGGTCTTGACTCAAGGCTATCTAAGGATCTACCATCCGATCTTCAGAAACTTCGTGGCAAGGTAAACTAAAATTTCTTTATTCTATGGTTAAATGTGTGATATTCTAGTGTATTATGAGACACAATCTTTCTGAATGTTTTGTGAAACTTGCTCCTTAACTAGTTTATATAGGAGTAACAAGCAAATGGCAATTTAATCTGGATGCTCCACCTAACTTTTTCTGTGGCAATAATTCTAAAAATGTGGCGTCTTCTGATTTAATCCTCTGTGAACTTGTAGGTGGCTTTTCATGCTTTGAGGTTTAATCCATCAATCTTAGAGCTCGGTAACAAATTTACAGAGAGGATGAGGAGCAAGGGACCATATCTTGCTCTTCATTTGCGAATGGAGAAGGATGTGTGGGTGAGGACCGGATGTCTTCCTGGTTTAAGTTACGAGTATGATGAAATGATAAACAATGAGCGGAAGCGCAGACCTGACCTCTTAACTTCAAGGTCAAACATGACCTACCATGACAGGAAGCTTGCTGGTCTCTGCCCCTTGAACGCATTGGAAGTTGCAAGGTAAGTGTCAAACTTCATGAGAAAGTGTTCTGTTGAAGCACTTTGAAAATGTTTCTGCTATTAACAAATTTGCAATCTCTTGTTTAGGTTGATAAAGGCTCTGGGAGCTCCAAAGGGTGCAAGAATCTATTGGGCTGGTGGAATTCCGTTGGGTGGGAAAGAAGCCCTGCAGCCATTGACCAAGGAATTTCCTCATTTCTATAACAAAGAGGATCTTGCTTTGACTGGGGAACTTGAGCCATTTGCCAAGAAAGCATCACTTATGGCTGCTATTGACTACATAGTGTCGGAGAACAGCGACGTTTTCATGCCATCTCATGGTGGAAACATGGGCCATGCCATTCAGGTACTGCCTTCAGTCTATATGTTTCTTGCTTATAGTTCACGAACATTAGTCCCGCATTATTATGAGCTTCCTTTATTATCGTTGATTGCGGTTGTTTTTTGCAACAGGGACACAGGGCCTATGCAGGGCACAAAAAGACTATCACTCCTAATAAGAGACAGATGCTCCCACATTTTCTTAACTCATCTCTCTCTGAGACAGAGTTCAACAGAATTATACTGGATTTGCACAAAGATTCGTTAGGTCAGCCGGAACTCAGGAAGACAGGAAGGGATGTTACAAAGTACCCTGTCCCAGAATGCATGTGCAACACTACTACTATCCATTCCTCCGTGTAAACTCCTTTCGCACTAACCAGACAATTTTGCGATGATATAAGAATCGTTGACAATGTGAATCAGCATCACTGCATCTGCGGGATTAGCCCTCCCTTAAGATAGTCTCTTACATTCCACAAAGAGGGCTTTCTCAGGTGCAACACTGTTCGGAAGGAGGGCCTAAGGCAGAGGTAGTAACAATTAGATGCGGATGTAGAAGGTTACTCTGATTCAAAAGCAACAACTCCTACAGCTTCATATTCTTTCTTGCTAATTATTTTTTGCACGTCATATTCTTTTGAAGTTGGGGAGCTAGGCAAAGATGAATTATTAGTTTAGTAAAGAAATGTCATTTTATTCAATTCGTTCTTTACACATCTATGTAATCCATCAGTCTATGTATATGCAATATATGTACAAAATCGTACAAATTTTGGAGGTACTTGTACATTTAGTCATTCATTTTTTTGCGGCAGACAAATCGAAAACCTTTTTATGATAAAATAATCAAACTTTCATAATTGACTCCATGCAGTATGTCTTAAGTTATATACATCTTGTAAGTTAGTCCGAAAAGCTAACAGGTGTAGGCATTTGCATCCTTGTGTATATATTGCAGATGCACTATCATCAAAACATGGGTAGTTTTTTCCAGCTTGTCCATAGTATACAAGCAGGTAATATGTTCTATGTTTCCTATCTTCCTTCCTAGACAGCTGCTGGTAGCGCCTCTTAGATCACCAGGCAAACAGAGATAGGAAGTTGAGTAGCTATGGGACAGTTGAAAGAAAAATGATGTCTATTGAGTTACTGGAGCAAAGGTAACATCTATTGCATAAGGTGTAACCTCTTTGTCATATAACCATTCTGCAATGCTGTTCAAACAAAGCCGATGAATTTGAGTGGAGCCTTAAATTTCATTATAAGTTCCATTGCCAGAACAGTTGCCAATATTGTCTTCTTTTCCAGATCATTCTGTCAGCTTCGGTTGTTGGAGGAGGAATGCATACAGTTAGCAACATGTTTTTTCATCAGCAATGCACAAAACATGTCTTCACCAGTTACTTCAGCAAAGCCATATAAAAATTGTAAGCTTGTATTAAAATGATGATTTCTTTTTCCCTAGTCCGGTCCAAACTTTTATATTTGGGTCAGAAGCCAAAACCATATGCTACTTTGAATATTTCTTTTCTCATAAAAGCTACTCCAATAAAGAGACTAATATAAAGTTCAGTACCTGCCCCTAGGACACTTAACTATAAATAGGGAATCTCATACCTGCATTTTCATCATCCAGTTAACGCTTCTTTAAATTAAATTTTCAGCATTCCATTTAAATTTCATCTTCTAGTGAGCAAAAAGGCATGGCCATCTATGTGAACCATGTTTATACTATACTCTGCATTATTTTTATTCTGCCTGTTCTAGGCTACAGTCGTAGTTATTCTTCTAAAGCTACCTATAAGACCTCTGATGGCAAAGGAACAGCAAGCAGTGAAGCTGGCCACCACTTTGCCTGTTTTTTCCACTAACCTGCTTGTGAAATAATTTCATATGTACAATCCTTAAGGAAATTCAAATTACATCAATTATAAATCTAAAGTGGTTCGTAAAATCATCTGCTTTAACCTTTGAACTCGCAAAATTTGATCAGCTGGAGCTTGTGGTTATGCAGAGTATGGCAGATATTTCAATGACAGGCTGGTAGACTGGAGTTTTCCTAAGCAACGTCAATATTTGAAGAAATTAAATGAATAAATCACACTACAATGACAAGCGGTGTCATTTTTTAATATTTTATAACCAATATTTTCATTTTGTTTATTATCTATATATACATATTATCACGTGACACCGCTCAGGATAAGGTGCATCCGTCGCATCCTGGTAGCTTTATAAGAATGGAGTTGGTTGTGGTGTATGCTACCAGGTACTTTATTTTGTGGATATCCTAGCAGTAGAGCTCTGCAAGGTATATCTGCTATTTTTTCCAAAAAATTTTTTTTTTTTTTGATGATATAACTTCTTCGATTTAGTGTTCATTCATCCCAAAATGTATTAATTCACATTTTTTTTAATGAGAGTCAAATGAAGTTATTACAATAATATTTTGAAGAGTTTAACATCTATGCAATAATAGTGTAAGAAGTTTTATGCTATAGCTTACGTAACAATCGTAATAAGTGTGATTGGTAGTCTAGAAAATAAGGTAGGCAATTAGTAAGTTGATACGGCAAAAAGCTTTAAATGGATACAATATGGAGCAGGTTTCGACTTGGCCAACCCACCAAAAGTAAATCTGAAGCTGAGGATTCAAGTGAATGAAGGTGGAATGACCAAATGGGTTCAGTCCCACAAGGCCGTGATCCCTCAATTATGAAATGGAGCGAATGAAAATATGAATAAAACTTGTAATATCTTGTCACTACAACAAAGAGATATCTGCCACAGCTTATTTTTATTTCCATATGTTTGAAGTCATTCCAAAAAATAAGAAACACAAACCTTGGAGTACTAGGGAGTAGGCACAACTGCTTTGTATATATCTTCGACGGCCTTTTGGATCATTGAAATCCTCAAAACGCAAAAAAGAATAAAAATCCTAAGAGAAGCACGATTGTAAAGATTAAGAAGATTGGCTGAATTCTCAGACTTCTGCTTTCAAAAGTAAATAAAAAAGGAGAAAATCAGCCTCCAAAGCTGAACGTACCCTGAAATTAGAATGAATTTTAAAAGCCTGTCATTTAGAGAGCTTACATATTTTTTTAAAAGGTAAAAGTTTTATTAATAAAGGAACCAAGAAGGTACACAAAAGTACAAAAAAACGTACAGCAAAAAAATAGATTTTGCAGACAAAGGTTCTTGGCTCTAGAAATGTGATTCTTTTTATCCAGACTCTCCAAATAGTCCAGAAAATACACAAACGGATAGTCATCCTAAACTGTTTCTGGATCTTTACTATATTCTGCCCATTCCAGCTTACCAATAAGCTCCTAACATCTGAAGGCATATCCCAAACTACACCCAATATTTAGGAAAAGCTCTCATTATTGCATAGCAACTTTACAATGAATAAAGAGATGATTGACGGATTCCAGTTCCTCTTCACAAAGATAACATCTGATACTTAAAATGAAACCTCTCCTCTGCAAATTATCTTAGGTTACGCATGCCACTCTGATGACAACCCAACCAAAACAGGTTACCGTGACAGATGCTTTGTCTTCCATAGCATTATCCAGGGTTAATTTGGCTCAAAAGTGCTCAGTTGGTTCTGAAGAGTGTTATGACAGCTTTTAACAGAGTATTTCATATCATTACTTGTTGTCCAGACTATAACATCCTCTTTATCTTCTTATACCACTGTTGTACCTAGTAATTGTAGTAATTCCACAGCTTACTCCACCTCCCATTCATTAAAATATCTTTACATATCTTTGTGGACACCCCATGTGATCGGAGACTATCTTTGGCACGAATACCCTCTAATATAGTACCTGATAAAAATATGATTTTTCTTAGCTTATTCTGGAGAGAGCTCGTTGTATAGAGCGGAGTACTGGCTAGTCAAGAACTCCCATGTCTAGAAGATGAAGGTGACTGAAAAGAGCATGTTGAGATGGACGCGCGGGCATACCATGTTAGACAGAAAAGTGAGGATTTATATAGCTCAACTTGCTTGGGACTAAGGCGTAGTAGTAGTTGTTGGTTCTCCCTCTGTTTCTGATTCCTTCTCTCTCATATATCGCATCCTTTCTCTCTGGTTTGTCTTCACTTTCCTCATTCATCATCTTCGAAACCTATCCTTCAATAGGCTGATATGAAGCTCATGATCGTCTATTTAGTAGTTAATCTTCTAATTCTTTCTTTCGAAACCCTAATTGCATCCAATTAGAGTATTAATATTGTCGTTCTTTCTTACTTATGTTCAATAAATTGAAATCATTACAAAAGGTTTGATACTTTGATTCATACCCTACTCCAACATCAACTCTCATATCTGTTGAATTTTATCCTTCAATAAAAAAAATATTCTCTAACTATAGTCTAATCTACAACTTCACCTCCGACTCTTAAATATGTAATTAAGTTAAACATCCATATTTGATCTTACCATTCACCAATCTAAAGTTAATCAAAAACCTCACCCGAGAATACAATTTCATGATTGCGGTGTTCATTATAATACCCTTGAGAGAAAATATTCCAATTTCTTTGATTCTACTAGTTTCATGTTTGATTTGCAAACTTACACATATATCATTTTTACCCAATTTTCGCACGATCGCTTTTATCTATAAGATCCATTCCTCTCCTTCCGTTCCCACTCTTGTTAAACAACAACTTGATTATGCATCAATCAGCAGTAACTTTTTTTATGAAAAAAAAAGATATTAGTAGTAATATATTTTGCAATCTACGGTGTAGATTTTAAAAATAAATGGATTGGAGATGCATTAATTTCCATGTGCATTATGCCAACAAACTGAATCCGCTATTTCATTTAGTCAATCCGAAATATAAATAAAATACCCAATTGGGTCAGGCCAAATTAATTGTAATTTCTTGCTAAGCCTTTCAAATCACCTATATAAAGATCCTTAAAGAACACTACATCCATCCATTAGAACTCAGAACCACTCCAAATAGATCCTATTCATGGCATCTCATCAATGCTACTCCATATGTGCAAACTACTAGATCTTACATTGTAGCTTTGATGATATGCCATGAATAAGGACTTATTTGCAGTAAGGTTTTTGACCCACTTACGAGTGACCAGAAATATCAAACGTGGAGATATATGAACCCAGATTGCTACATTTTTTTTAAATTCGATCATGTTCCCGGCATGGGCAGAGCCAGGGGGCCGAAATAGGGTTCATTCTTTGCCAGAAAGTTACACTATATATACTAGGCCAAAATTATTTTTTATGTATATATAATAGATGTTGAGTCTCCTTGATTTCTTCATATATTTACTTCTTTATATTTTGAACCCCTTTACTGAATTTCCTGACTACGCCACTAGTTCCTGGTATCTTGCTAATTGTGAACCATATTTGTAAATGGTAATGTTAGTAATGATATGTCAGGAACAATGATCAATTTATAGGAGTTTATTTCAAGATGCTTATGTCACCAGGCCGCTTTGTATGTATGGATGTTCTCCTTTTTAAGATTTTTATTCTTTTTCATTCTAACAAGATTCCTGGCTGTGAATCCAAAATAATACAAGTTTAGAGCTACAAACTGATACTCCCTCAGCCCCATTTTGAGGAAATATGGTGTTTAAAATATAAAGGAGGATTTTTGACACGTAATCTTAGTGTGTAAAAAAGTCAAAAGACACTTCTCATAAGGTCCACACAAATAATGTCAACTCATAAAAGAAACATCTCAACAAGGGCAGAAGCGAAAAGTAAATATAAGGTTTTTAGTATAAATTTGTATCAATCTTTTTGCAACGGGCAAAAAAAAAAAGGAGTGGTGCTGAACAAATTGAGATAGATGGAGTACCTGTTTTAGCATGCTAAAAATAACATGGCCAGTGGTTGCTTGGAGAGATGTTATTCAAAGTATAGAGGCTTCCGTTCATGACCAGCTGTTTGAGATAAATACCTTTGATGAGAATATAGTTGAATCGGTCTTTTGGCCATTTGACCATGTCAATGCTGACTTCCACTCAGCCTTAGGAGTTCGACAAAGAAATACATCACAGATCGCAGTTACAAGTACCTATGAATGAAAATACTATCTGGCTGCAAGAGATATACACTGGCCATGTTATTCACCACTGAGATATACAGGGTAAGGCCACTAACTATCTCATGGCGAATCTATGTGAGCTGCAAGAGTAGCTGATGTTTGACGTGAAGTGAGGTGTGGCAACAAAGATTAAGTGCAGGAATGAATCAGAGTTCTCTTCAACATCCTAGCGTTTTCCTTACAAGACCCAATCTTTACATTGGCCAAACCCAATATCTCTTGGTCGTGCAACTTCAGAATCCCAATTAGAACTGTTTCCTTATTGACAGCAAGAACAGGATCACATTTAAGGAGTTTTGTGTTTTGCCAACACAGTCAATGATTTTCCTTTCACGCAGTTAGAAAAGCCAATTCTTTTTCAAGGAGCAACTGGTTTCTCATCTCCCTTGTCAACACCCAAATTCCTAGACCCGTTTCACCAATAATCTCCACAAGAACAGAGGCCATCCTTGAAATGATGATAGCGATTGACATCTCTGATAGTGATTTCTCTCTCTGTTAACTTTGAGATAAACTTGATTGCAACATGACAGTCCTCGCAAACTCGGAGGTTCTTGGTGATCAAGAGCTTTGTCCCTGGGGGCGTACTAATTAGTCCAAAAGCAATCGCTAGCCTTTCACTGTGGCTGCAGACCATTCTGCTCTTCTCGTCATCTTCCACATCATGGAAAACAGGTGTAATGTTTGGGACATAACCAGCTTGTACCATTCGTGCTCCCAAGCTGTCTAGCTCTGCATAAATCTCATCAGACATAGGATGAGAGGTATCCCCCGAGAGAAATGCATGTACTTTGTTTTTAACTTCAATCCAACTGTACGCGATGGTTTTCTTTACACCTCTTTCATTCATTAGTTCTCTAAGCTTTGCAACACCTTCCCATCTACCTGCTTGGGCATAAATGTTTGACAGAATCACGTAATTTCCTGCGTCATCAGGCTCAAGTTCAATTAACCTCTCCAATGCCAATTCTGCAAATTCCACATGACCATGGATTTTGCATGAATTAAGCAATGCACCCCAGACACCAGCATCTGGCATAACTTTCATCTGCATCATAAGTCCATAAGCCTCATCTAAGCGGCCACTATGACCTAAGAGATCAACCATGCATGTAATGTGCTGAATGGTTGGTTCAATTCCGTAATCTTTTACCATTGAATCAAAATACATTCTCCCTTCATTCAACAAACCTCCATGGTTACAAGCAGATAAAACCCCAACAAATGTTATATGATCCGGCTGAGCCTTTCCAACCATCTGATTAAACAAACTAAGTGCTGCATTAGCATGACCATGCATTGCATATCCTGTGATCATTGCATTCCAAGAAACAACTCTTTTCTCCTCGAGTGCTTCGAACAAGATCCTAGCAACATTCACGGACCCACTCTTGGCATACATATCCACGAGTGCTGTCTTCACTTTGTCCAGAGAGTCAAAACCCTGTCTCCAACTATACCCATGAAGCTCCCTTCCCTGTCGAAGGGCCGCCACATCAGCAGAAGCAGAAATAGCAGTCACTAAGGTCGCCTCCGTAGGTCTAACACCTTCACATGCCATTTCACCACATAAAGACAAACAATCCTCAGGGTGACCATTTTGTGAGTAAGCAGCAAGCATTGAATTCCAAACAACTACATCCCTCTCCGCAACATTGTCAAACACCAGCCTCGACCTACCAACACAACCACACTTAGCATACATGTCGATAAGGGAGGCACCCACGAAAACATCCTTATCCCACTTCGTTCTTTTCGCGTGTTCATGAATATCCCTCCCCACATCAATCGCGGACAAGGCCGAGCACGCTTTTAACACAAACGGAAAGGTAAAATTATCAGGAACAAGCCCATAATCGAGCATTTGATAATACAAAGAAATTGCAGCCTGGTAAGGTCCATTCCAAGCATAACCACGAATCAAAACATTCCAAAGAAAAATATTTCCTTTAGGAATTCTATCAAACAGGTGATGGGCATTCGACAATTTATCACAAACACAATAAAGATTGACCAGCTTCGTTGCCAAATAAATGTTGTAGCCTAAACCCGTGAGGCAGAGATGCGCGTGGAGCTGTTTTCCAGGATCAACTGCTTTCCGAGCGATGCAAGATTGGAGAAGAGAGGCGTAATGTTGAGTTGGGTTTTGTGAAAATGAGTGTTGGTGATAGTGATGAAGTTGAATAATAATGTGTCTAATATAAGGGAACGAATCATTTAAGTGTTCAGTCGGATTAAGAGCAGAGGTGATTCTGCCCTTACGAGCCGACCATCTTGCAATAATTGATAGCATTTGAAAATTTTGGTACGAGAAAAAGGAATAAATTTTTTTCTAAATAGTAGTAGTGGTTGTAACAAATACTAAAAGGCGGGAAAGCCAAAAGCTTCCAAAGATGTCGTGCTAAATGATGATAAAGATGACAGAAAACAGGTGGGAACAGTAAGAGGGTTTACTAATTTCGATTCTTCTGTTAAATAATGTTTTCAATAGTTTTTGTACTTCAACGGGAAAATTGGGCTTGAATTGCAAAAGGCAAAATACCTTACCAACCCCCTAAATATGACACAGATTATTAGTTATAGTCTTAAATTATTCGTGATCTTAATTACCCCTTCAACTTGGCCTTTTGAGCGCCATAGTCCCCCTGGACGCTGATGTGGCAACGAGTGTGGGTGCATTCACCGGCCACGTGGATTTTTCTGTATATGTGGCATTTTTTTGAAAAATAAAATATATTTTTACCTTTATAAGTATGCTACTATTTTTGATAATTTTTTTCGATACAATTTATAATAAAACTTGGATAGAACTACATTATTTAGGCTAAGTTTTTTTATTTGGCTAAAAATAATAAAGTTTTAGTTAATCTTTTTTTGAATTTGACTTGATAATAAAGATTTATACAACTGAAATAAATAGTCAAGGCATCTAAAAAGTTATAAAATACATAATTTAAAATTAATTATTTTGACTATAATGTTTTATATAGCTCTAAATTATGTTGCTCTAAAAATATACTTTTTATAGATTTTACCTGAAAAGGTAAAAATACGTAGTTGAAATAAATAACCATTGCATCAAAAGAAGAAATAAAAAGAGTTTATCCATAGAGTAAGTTACACTCTTTTTATTTCTTCTTTTGATGCAATGACTATTTATTTCAACCTGCATTTTTCCTTTTATCAGGTAAAATCTGTAAAAAAAAAATATATATTTTTAGAGCACAATAATTTAGAGCTATATAAAAAATTATAGCCAAAATAGTTAATTTCAAACTATGTATTTTTTACAACTTTTAGATGCCTTGACTATTTATTTCAATTGAACAAATCTTTATATTCAGGTCAAATTCAAAGAAAGATTAACTAAAACTTTATCATTTTTATTTCAAAGAAAGATTAACTAAAACTTTATTATTTTTAGCCAAATAAAAAAGTTTAGCCTAATTAATGAAGTTCTATCCAAGTTTTATTATAAATTGTATTCGAAAAAAATTATCTAAAAAAGTACTAAGTACTAACATACTTAAAAAGGTAAAAATATATTTTATTTTCAAAAAATGCCACATATGCATAAAAATCCACATGGCAGGCGAGTGCACCCACACTCTTTGCCACATCAACTTCCAGGGGGTACTGACTCTCAAAAGTCCAAGTTGAGGGGGGGGGGGGGTAATTAAGTATTTTAAGGCTGTAACTAATAATCCGTGTCAAGTTTAGGGGGGTGCTAAAGTATTTTAGAGATGTTTTATTAAAATGGTCCTCCACCAAAGCTTTTTACCGCAAGATTGAACCGAAATAAACTTTGGCCGGAACTCGATAAGAAACTCGACGACACCCAATGATGCCTTAGACCAGAAATCCAACGATGGTACCTAAAACCTGTATGGTGCTTCGATGGTGATGCTAGGTTCTAAGTTGGTGATTAAAGGTCACTTAAATTTGAATTTGAAAATTTAGGTTTTCAAAATTAGAATCTATATCTTAAGTCGTTTGAATCTCAATTTTGGGATGATTTGAGGTAGTTTGAATTGAAATTTGAGCCATACACCAAACTAAAAGATGAACGTGGAATAAGTTAAGATGTGTATCCTCTATGTATCCTATATGTATATCTCATATGTATCAAATGCAGATCCTATGCATATCCCTTGTATTATGCATATCTACGTGTGAGATACATGTCAAATGCATGTGTGTTGTTGAAAAAAGGCAAAATACATAAGTTGCCACCCGAACTATGACCCAAATCCTTGTTACACACTTTCTGGCAACGAATATTACTTTACACACCCAACCTTTTCAAAGTGTATCCAAGACACACCACTTTTTTCTTAACCAGTTTTTCAAAATATGTGTAATATCACGCACCAATCAAATAGTAACACGTGTCATTTAAAAAATAAAATAATTAAAATTACAATTGTACCCCTCATCTTCCTCATCTAAACTACCATGGCCGTCTTCCTCCTCTTTCACCATCAAACACCATAGTCTCTTCCTCCACCTTTTACTTAATAATAAAGCCACAATTAACTAACAATCATAGAAAAAACACCCAAAACTCCATCTTTTGCGCTGAAATTGAATCAAAATTTTTGAGCCCAGATCCAACTCATTTTTCATTTCACTTCTGTAAAAGTTCAACCGCCATTAACTGCCATCGCCACAAAGTCAGCTATTTAAAAAATCATCCATTATAAAATTAAAGAATGTGCAAAAGCTTGAGCTAAGCTTTAATGGTTGGAAAATATTTTGGAAAATTCTCGCTTGCTGAAAATTCGACTTCGCCATGGGTAAAGCTCAAGTCAAGCTTCTCTACAACGAGAAGAGAAATGAGAAATCGTGGTATGTGTATTTGAGAAGAAGGACATTGGGTGGTGGAGCTCAAGGAGTAGATATGGTAGAATTTTAAAAAAGGAAGAAGATGACTCAATTTAAAATTTTAAAAACCAAAAAAATTGACATCACAAAATTCTTACTGTTCACGCGACTCAATTCGTTGGGAAAAACACGCACTATCCACGTGGGCAAAGTAGTGTGTATTAGATACACTTTGGAAAGGTTGAGTGTGTAAAGTAATATTCGTTCCTAGAAAGTGTGTAACAGGGATTTGGGTCATAGTTCGGGGGGTAACTTATGTATTTTGCCTTGAAAAAAGGAAAAATACATAGAGTCCCTCCTAAACTTGTCCCAAAAACTCGATTGAACACTCAAACTAAATGAGTATTTCTTAACCTCCCTAAACGCGTTTGGAGTGAATTATTTTCACTCCTAATAGCTAATGTGGCAAGAAAATAAGAAGAAAAAAACTTATAAGCACGTACATTTAACAAATAAGGTAGGCCCCTTCTTTCTCCTTCTTTCTCACCCCGTCCCTTTCTTGTTCATAGATCCTTCACCAATCCTTCCCCAACTCAAAACCATCCAAATCCTTCACTAAATTGCCTCAAATTTCAGATATAGACTCCAAAAAATATACTCAGATTTCAACTAGACTTACTAAGAAGCAGCTGTAGATGTAGACTCCAAAACATATACTAAGAAGCAGCTGTAGGAATTTAAATCTATGAAAAAGCTTTGAAACACATATAGGCCGATTGAATCACCTTTCAATGTGATGCACTTTCAATCTCCGCCTCTTTCTATTTGTTATTTTTTTAGCAATTCTTTTGTGAAATCTTAAGAGTTTTGGAGTCTTAACATAAACAATAAGAGTGGATCAACGAAAATCCTAACTCAAATCTGACGTATCCAGCAAACACCATATGAAGTATGTTTTTCTTCTTTGAATTGTTTCTGAAGGAGAAGATTGGCTTGTGAAGGAGAACCTGAAGACATATGACTTTAGAAAGACAGAGAGAAAAAAACAAAACTCCATTGCTAAAACTCTGTTTAGTGGATGATCCTAGCTCTAAGGTATCCCCACAGTTCAAAAAGATGAGGCTGACATGGTCGCTGACGTGGTGCTGATGTGGCGTACGTGTAAAACACCTCATATTGTGAAACTGGTGTTAGTGTTTCAAGGGGAAAATAATTCACTCCAAAACGTTTAGGTGGGAAAAAATACCCGTATACTTTAAGTGTTCAATCAAGTTTTCGAGACAAGTTCAGGGGTCACTTTATGTATTTTCCCTTGAAAAAACTTTAAACTCGATTTCAACTTCAAATTTTAACTCGAAATCAGTTCAAATCACCTTTAATCTTCTTCAAAGTATGCATATTGCATTATCTATGTGTTTTCAATAAATTTCAATCATACAACAACAAGACAACAATATACCCAGTGCAATCCCACATTGTGAGGTCTGGGAGGGTAAATTGTACACAAACCTTACCCGTACCTTGTGGAGGTAGAGAGGTTGTTTCCGAAAGAAAATAATTCTCAGCAGGTTGAACAGGAGAACAGTAATAAGAAGGTCGTGTCGGATTTACTAAAGATAAGAACATTAACAACAAAAAATAAAGCATTAATATAACAAAGCAAGGGGAACAAGAGATGCTACTGGACACCACGTATAAGAGAACACTAAAATGATAATACTAGTGCTGGTATGTAAAAGAAACAACCAAAACAAATGTAGCAGATACGGAGACCTAATCTCGACGACCTACTAACCCTCAACCTAATCTTCGACTTCCATAATTTCCTATCTAGGGTCACGTCCTCGGTAAGCTGGAGACATGCCATGTTATGTCTAATCCCTTCTCCCCAATACTTCTTCGACCTGCCTTATCCTTTTCTCAAATCTACAATAGTCAATCTCTCAAACTTCCTCACTAGGGCATCTGTACATCTCCTCTTCATATGCCCATACCACCTTAGCCTCGTTTTCCTAATCTTTTCGTCCACAAAGGCTACTCATACCATATCTCAAATTCCTAATCATATCTCTCCGAGTATGCCCACACATTCACCTCAACATCCTCATCTCCGCTACTTTCATCTTCTGAGTATGAGAGTTCTTGACTGGCCAACACTGAGCCCCATACAATATAGTTGGTCTAACAACCACTCTATAGAGCTTACCTTTAAGTCTTGGTGGCACCTTCTTATTACACAAGACACCGGATGCAAGCTTACATTTCATCCACCCCACTCCAATACCATGTGTGATATCTTCGTCAATCACACCAGCCCCTTGGATTATTGACCCTAGATACTTGAAACACTCTCTCTTAGGGATGTCTTGCGTATCAATCCTCACTTTCACATCTGCCTCATAAATTACATCACTAAACTTGCACTCCAAGTACTCTGTCATATTCCTACTCAACCTAAAGCCTTTCGACTCCAGGGAGTCTCTCCAGACCTCCAGCCTTGCATTAACTCTGTTGCGCGTCTCATCTATCAGTACTATGTCATGTGCAAATAGCATACACCACGATACCTCCCCCTGAATATTTCCGCATCAATACATCCATCACCAAGGCAAAAAGAAATGGGCTAAGGGTTATTCCCA